CGATGTGCTGGCCCATATTAGGCCAATAGACGTCGCTTCGGGCGTGGGCCTTCATGCGATTGATGTCTGGGTGGCCAGAGTGGAATTGTCGTAGAACTCTGTGTTGCAGTGCCTGTGGGATGACGACGCGTTAGGAGAACAGGATGCAATCGTCCACCATTGATATAGATTTTCGACGGGGGTAAAACTGTTGTAGGGCTCCGGACATGTGCTTTGGCTAATGTGTGCCACTTGTTGCAAAATAGGATCCTGTCTGTTTGCCCGTTGTACTTCAGCAAAAGTTACAGGTAGTGCTCATATTGTGTCCGTCATTTGGGTTTGCATATCTGATTCCAACGACACAGACACAATGATTGTGTCTTCAGTTTGCTGACTTTGAGGGTCGAGGCGCGAAAGAGCATCTGCCTGACCGATTTTTGTCGTGGACCGGAACCGTATTGCGAAATCGTATCCCAAAAACACAGTAGCCTAGCGCTGCAGTCNGGTTAGTTGACTAAACTGGAACACCTTTCTTCGAATCGAAGATCGCGACTAACGGTTTGTGATCGGTCAAGAGTGTGAAGTGGCGACCATATAACATCTTGTGGAACTGTCGTCTGGTTCAATACCACATATAACCGGGAGGACCCCTGTGGTTTGCCACTCCGAGTCCCGGGGCTTAGACTGCCGGCTTTCATTACTGAGTCGTATGTCACGACTACGGGGTACACGCCGTCTTCTGTTAATCACAAAATGTGTATATATTTACAAAATGTGTAACAATAAGCAAGCAGCTTCAGTGAATGCGCTTATGATTTCGACAGACTTGACAACAAAGAATAATAACACTAACAACTCATCCGCGTATGCACCTGAAGAGATACAGTGAAATCTTTCCGGGAGTATTATGTTGACTAAGACAAAGCTTAACTTTATATGTACCAAGTGGCTAGCCACTGCGAAAACCGATCCTATCGACAATCAAGAATTCATACGCAGTGGGTAGTGTATACAATTTTATCCAAATTCATTATTTACAATCTGGGTAGAGTTATTCTTTCGATGGAATCAGAACATCCAAAGCGGATTTGAGACGTTTCTTGGCCAGCTTCCGGCGAACCACAAGGGCATCACTGGCTCGGGCAAGTTCCTGTGGTTCGTCTTCTTTTTTCGACTTTTTATCTGATTTCTTTTTCTCATCCGATTTGGTCACACCCAGGACGTTCATAATACCAAACATTTTCCGTTCAAAACGAATATTCTGCTTCTTCGCTTCAATTCGACCGGCTTTCGAACGTCCCTTCTTTTTGTTACGTTTCACTTTGGGCATCGGCACTTTTGTTGTCTCACCCAGCTGCAACAAAAAAATGGATGGGGAAAAACACTTTGAAGTGTTCAGCTAGTTAGAAGGAGTGGTGTCTGATGACCACAAGATGAAACCGTGCAACAAGTGTATAATGAGGAAAAGTGAAAACAGTGCATCGGTTGTCCCGTTACCGCCATCAAATCCCCAAACCGCATTCGAAATTCTCCTGTCTGTGGGAAACATTACACATCTAATGTGATTGTTTTGATTCTCCTCGTCCGGAACAATTGTATCGAAAAAGGAATGCGCGCTTAAATCTAAGACCTATCATTTAATGAGAACCTTATCAAGGTCCATGAAATCCACTGAAATGCGCCGTCTAGATTTAGTTTATACTCAATACATTCTTTCAAACAAAGGTCTTCGAGAAACCTGGTGAATGCTCAAACAGTTTTGCGGTTCTTCTGTGTGAGGGCGCTCTTCGTTCGTGAGGATATGAATCATGGATTTATCAGACTAGCTAACCCCGGGTATGGTCAAACGCCTGAGTCCCCCCAGTATCTTACACTATTCTGAGGGTGACTGATGCGGTATAAAAATGTGAAGAGCTACAGTTGTTAAACCTCCATAAAACCGGAGAGCCAAATGGATTATAACTAATTGTGTTCAAAGAATGCGCCAGTGGCCTATCACGTCAGTGCTGCTATACGGCGCAGAAACTTGGTCATTAAAAAAATAGGATAACGATAAACTGTCGATGTTTGTACACCACTGTCTAAGCAGCATTGCACGAGTCTGGTGGGGCAGCCAGACGAGCAATGCTGAGGTTAGGCGTAGAGTTTTAGGTAACCGTGGTTACCGGCTAGAGCAAGTGGTCGACCTCCATAGACTGCGTTGGTTGATGCTTGTGTTACGCAGGTCACCAAATAGGCTGTCCCGGCCAGCGATGTTTACAGGCAGGTAGTAGGTGGAATAAGGCCAAGGGCGGTCAAACCAAGACCTGGCATGAGGGTACGAAAACCCTTACCAGGAGACTCGGTCACATAGGTCCCGTTAGGCTTCCTGCATGGAAACCAAGGGATCATTGTAATCAATGGTTAGAGACACCGAGTGATATGGTTGTGTCGTAAACAATGGCTTCGCGCATCTTCTCAATTTCTTTGCAATCTTGGTCCACTGAAATTCGACTCTGCTTTCAACATTCCTGAATTTCTTCTACTGTTCATCCAAATGGACAACCAAAACCGGCGCACGAAAGTGCATGGTTAATGGTTGTACCAACTGAACTATCACGTTAAATATCTTCAACCGTAGTGTATTCTGATGCTCAATCAGGAATCGCCAGCAACGCACCAATTCTATTCTTGCAAACCATGGAGTCCTTCGGCCTACTATAGCCCTCGTCAAGAAGCCATTTTGTCTCTCAAGTTTTTTCCACTCACTTGGCTTCCATGCCCGCTGGAAATGACTCCTTGCTAATGAAATACACTGATAACGTTTGGCTCACCCTACCTCAACAATTCTGTTCTTACCATTATCCATCTTGGTATCTAACAACTTAACCAGTGGTCCTTTACACATGACCTTTCCATGTTTTCCAGTTTGCACAACCATTAAACATGCACTATTGTGCACCGGTTTTGGTTGCTGACTTTTGGCTCCCCATTTGGATGAAAATTAAGAGAAAGCCAGGAAGGTTTGAAAGTAGGGTCATAGAGAAAATGGCGAATTTCACTGGATTATTGTTGCGGAGAAATCGACAAGATGCACGAACCCCACTGTTTACGACACTCAGCCAGATCACTGAGTGTGTCTAACCATCCGGTACGATCATCCCGAGATCCCCAGCCAGGCAAGTGCCAACCGAGCCTTTTGTATGCGAGCTGACACTTCATCCGTGATACGTCCACCGGGTGGGGTGTAGCTGCCCGAATAACAAAACTTATCCACCTGTTATATTGCTTCCCCAGTTAGAGTGAGTCTGGGTGATGGACCAACCCAGTCTTATGGTAATATTTTACACTTTGAAGGTGCAAAACGCATACCGATCATGACTACACTAGCACTCAAACATCCCAGAAAAGCTTGCAACTTACTTGGGTCTTCACCTAGCAGCACAATGTTCTCTGCATACTCTAAATTAGACGGTCTGCCACCCGGAGGGGGGGGGGGGTAAATCGATGCCATAATCAAATATATAAAATTGAAATAGAAAAGGAGAGGGCAACCCTGACTTTTCGTGGTGAACTGGGACGAGAAATTGCCGTAAGCTCGGACTCAGCTTCGGCTAATTAGTATAAAGGGATTTCCATGGACCCATCTGAAAGTGTTCCTGTTCAATCTTATTTTCCAACAATCACGACAGCCTAAATCTTCAGGCGGAGAGCTAATTGATAGACAGGAAATTGAGTGTAAAGCATCGAAAAAATCTGGACCCCCTGACACTGGAGATATATGCTGTCTACAAAGATTAAATTCAATACCACGGCACTTGCACAAGAGTTTACAAACTGGTTATTCAATTGAAGTATTCGTGGTTAGGCATCCTCATGAGAGCCAAACACCACACTGACGTTATGTTTGCACAACATTCCACATTCAACTCAGAGTCACCTGTGAGTAATGGTGTGGAATAATCGATATTGATTGAACCGAATGACCATTACTAATTACGATGCCTGATCAAAAAGTGAACTGCAATTCACCTCAGTTCAGGTTTTAGATGGCGGTCACAGTGGAAACATACACGCCTTCCGTGTGACGCGACCGGGGTACAAAGCCCGTGACAGTGAATACGCACCACGGATGAGTTCTAGTAGCAGAAAAACTCGAGTTTAGTGCTCCCGGTTGACTGGAAGAACTTTCTACATACAGAATCTTCGCTTAATCGTTACCATTCATTTCGATTTTCACCTTTCTCTTCTATTAGCACGTGGATCCATTTCACACCAATTTATGATATGTACAAATCCATTCTTTGGTGTAGGCAGCATTTCTGTCAGCATTTCATCGATTGGATTTAAACAAGCACTAATTACTTTTTTAGGGCACCAAGTTTGGATTAGCTCATTCGATTGTTAAAAGGCACCAGGCACTATTGGTATTCTTGGGTGTGGGTTTTACTCCTTGGGAGATCGTGAATTCTCCATAATTTCATGCATTAACATGCGATAGGAATGTTTCCGATAACCATTAAAGAGCAATGGACAGCTGTTTCGTCCTGTTTGAGACTTGTCAGCAGTGCGCGTACTTTTTGTCTCCCTGTCAGGACTCGAACCGCGAGCATTCGGGTTGGGACTTGTATTGTATTGTATTGTATTGTATTAGTAACAAACCCATACCCCCAATGCATACCCAAAATAAAAATAATTTCATACTGCATCGGTCGTCGCGCAGGATAATCAGGACCGCGATGCCCATTGCATCGAGCGGGGGTAGGTAGTGATAAGTAGGCTACTGCTCAGATATCCTAACCTTTGTTTAACTCTTTGTCTTCCGTTCCCAGCCCTCTCCCTTTACCCCTTCTACTGATCTGTGATAGTCCCTCAAGCAACTTGGATGTTGTACTTGCAGGCGACTTCAATGCGCAAATTGGAAAACCGAGAGCATCAGAAGCTTATCTAGGCGGTAGTTGTGCTCTGCCCTACCAACGAACAGATAACAGCTATCGACTTCTTCAGTTCTGCGCAGACCATCATCTGTTCCTATCAAGCACCAACTTCCGACACAGCTCTCGACGGACGGCAACGTGGTGCTCCAGTTCAACTGTTACCCTAACCCAAATCGACCACATAGCAGTAAGTTACCGTTGGCGTGACTCAGTGCAAAATTGCAGGTCTTATTGGACCACCTGAATTGAGTCTGACCGCGCATTAGTTCTGATGCAGTTCACTCTCCGACTGACTGGTCGGCGACATACCCAGCAAGCTCGGATAGCTCACCAACGACTATCTGCTCCAGCAGTTCATACACTCTATGAGTCAGAACTAGTGCGTAAGCTAGGTGCGCTTCAGTGGGGTGAAGTAGACGAGCAGTGGGATCAGATTAGGCGAGCAATGCATTCCGCAGCAAATGTTGCTTGTGGGTCTGAGCCTCAAACCCATCGGAGGCATTGGATATCTCAGGAGTCAGTAGCCTTGATGGATAAAAAACAACAAGTCCCGATCTGCCAGGATCAAAATGGAGTTAGGTGGCAGTTACAACGTCGACTCACAAAGAGCCTCAAGAACTGGTGGGCAACAACAGCTAGTGAAATGGAAGTAGCAGCTGCATCAGGGAGTAGTCAAAGACTGT